ATAGATAGATAGATAGATAGATAGATAGATGTTCAGCAAATAAACATACTTTAAAAGCGTTGGATATTTATCCAACGCTCGGACCAGTATTCAAGGTGAGATAGATAGTGGGAAAGTTCAAAATGTATATTAAAACAAGACATAAAACAGAAGCGGGGAGCTGTGGATCTGCGGTCCACAGCAGCTGCAGTGGGGGGGCGGGGCACTACTCAAACACTGACACTCTGGAAGGAGAAACACAGGTAAGTGACCACGATTATCTGACCGGAGATGATTATCCATGTGAGTCACTTACCTGGTTTAACAGCTCAGTCGGTCCTCTCCGAGGAAGGCAGGATCCAGCCCACGGACTGCCAAACGAGCTGCGGCACAGAGCTGCCCAGAGTGTCCCCGATGCAGCAACCTCAGTGAGCAGGCAGGAATCCGATCCAGGTCAGGGATACAGATCAGAGGGGAACATGGTCAGGGGTTCCAATCAACATAGGAAGAGACATATCTGGGGTTCCAGGAATCCACAGTGTGAAGGCAGGTTCAGAGTTCCATGAGTCCAGCAGTGAGCTCAGACAGACATCCACAGATGCCGACACGCAGACTCAGTGGTTGAGGGACAGAGACAAGACATGGTCTGGGATAAATGCGAAACTTTAAACCTGGGAGCCAGGACACGATCAGAAGATGACAAAACAAACACTAAACCCTCTCAACCCACTGGCCTCCGGGGACAGGGACATGAACCTTGGACTACCTAAAACTAACAAAAAACATCAAACAATGATCTGGCCCTGATAGCTGGGCTGAGCCGAATATAAAGCAACAGACGCAGGTGGATAAGATGAGCAATGATTAGGTACAGGCCAGAGTCAGGCAGGAGAATGAAGTTAATTATTAAGGTCAGCTATCAGGACAGATCATGACATTTACTCTATCATTGTTTGCTATTTGTGTGTTAACTTTAGGCTTTGGAGCACTTGAAGCCGTCTGACAACTGCTTGGTTGCAAAAGCACCTGAGAACAGGGACAAGAATCGCTACAGAGACATCTTACCCTGTAAGACGACTTCCTTTGCTTAAATAACAGAATGTAATGTGGTTGTGTTGTTTTCATTATTGAGATTACATCTGTTAGCTCTTCTGTAAAAGTTGTGTAACAGAAAATCTGGACATGCAAAAAAGGTATTATTAGAGCATTTGTTTTAAAAAAAAAACAAGCATTCAAATTATCTTTTGCTGCTGCAGCATAATCTCATAATCTTCTTAAAAAAGGCCTTACATTAAAATGGGTAGCGTTACAATTATTGATACTCATAAAAAAAGCTTGTTAAATGATTTCAGCAAAAGATATTTTTTCAACCTTTTATTCACCCCTTAGCATTGCTTAATAATGCTTAAGTGACCTGTGCTAACTTTCAAGTTCTTCTCATAAAAGCCAGCATTCTGTGGTTCTGAAATATGTATGCTCCACTCCTAAATTCATTTATCTGCAAGAATATTGGAGATGTTGTACTGTAATACTAGGACAGGTTAAACAAAAAAAAATATTGCATAGGACTGGTTTGTCATATGGCTGCTTAAAAATGACTCAAATCTTAACATTTATGGTTTATTGTTAAAAAAGATCCCTATTAGATAAATCGCAGGCTACTCCTCCTTGTCCTGTGACTCCCTAGTAAATTTGTAAATCCAAGTGTTCACATTGTTCACAAGTAATTCCACAACAGTTTTGAAATTGCTCTCTTGCAGAAGTTGCATGAAAACATCCCTTTGTTGACTCATTAGACCTTGCACCTGTGAGAGCAACGTCCGCTCCATTTCTTTGGTTGCTGCTTTGGTCATTCTTAGGTGGCATGTTGTGCTGAGATCCTCTGCAAGGAAATCCTAAGGCTTCAGCGGATGAAGCAGGCCGAGATAGTATCCACCAAAAATCTCAAACTATGAATATCATCCACTGCTTTTTACCACGTTTCTTATAAAATATAATGTCAGAGTTAATATTTTTTTTTTTATTAGTTGAGATAAAACTGCTCTCTTACTGTAGGCTGATTGCCAAAGAACGAAAGCAGTCCCATCAATCCCTGCCTGTAGGGTATCCCACTCATCGCCAGCCCTTGAAACTTTCTGTCTATGCTGTAATCCGTATCCATTTACTGCTTTAGTAATTTCAGCACATCTTACCACCTATATGAATACCAATAATTTAGTGATACTACACACTTAGTGATCATTTATGATTTTGTGATACAAGAACACTTTTCTTTCAGCCTTTATTTGAAAGAATTTCCTTGGGCACTACTGGAAATAGCTTGCTTGTTATTTGCCAAAAATCTGCATAGAAATAAATAAGTAATCATCCAGATTTATATCTTTGGATTAAGGACATTGCACAATCATTTTAGAAATTATTGGGAGTATATGGAAAAAAATAAAAACTTAATCTTTTATTTTTGATTAATTTTAAAAATCTTAGCCTTCTAGAATTATCTATGAAAGGTGAAATAATAAAACGCAGGGATGTGTTTGAGACATGCACAGAAGGATTTTCTTTTAGCACTCTAACTACATGTGTATGTTGAGGGGGGAGGTTAGGGCTCAGCCCTAAGATGAATGAATATGATAAAAGGAAAAGTTACTCCCATTTGAATTAAAGCTCAGCTTGCTTGCCATATCGTTAACAAGTGAAGAAAATAGAGACGTAATGTTTAGATTCACTGTGTGGAAATATTTGTTCAAGAAACACATATTTCTAGATTTTATTTGTTTTATTTTTTATCTCATTTTTGACCACACAGGCAGAAGGTTTGGGGCATTCTAACTTCCATTGGTGCATGACCCCTCCCTTCATTAGAAGCTTCTATCACCCACTGTAGAGATGGTGAAGCGATGCTGATGGATAGAACCGTTTTTATACTTATTCTGGCTGTAGGCCTATGCATGCATGCACTACCATGCCTACAGAGCAGTGTGGAGCACCACTGTTCCAGTAAATCTCATACTGGAGTTTATTAAACTTAGAAGAAGAAAAAAGTTAAACAGGAAAACAATCACTACCATTCACCAATAGGTGGTGCTATGGCTGAGATGAATAATTGGTAGCTAATACTGAAGGAACAAACACTGAATCCTTAAATGATTGTCTTTTAATATAAGTTTTGCCATTTTTTATCATTTCATTTTACATTTTATCATACATTTTTTCAATTCCCTGTCTAGATGTATAAACAAAGCAAGCTGTCTTAATATTCCTCAATGTTTTTTTTATGGATTTATTCATTTGAGGTAACATTAAATGATTTGGACTATTGCAATGAACAGCCATACCTCAGCATTGCTTGCTTATGAAACAACTTAGCTTAATTTAAATACACTGCAGCCGAGTCAAGAAATTTCATATTAATTTCACTTTAAGAGCTTTTACACAGAGATTTGGTTATCTAAAATATTTCATTTTATACAGCTAGTTGCCTTCGTTTTGAGTATTTTAGATGGAAAATGTTTTCGAGAAAAGGTGCACAGATGTACAAGAAAGATGACAGTGTTGAGGACTGACCTCCTCTGCAGATAAATAGCCTGCTCTATGGTTACACCACTCATCACCCTTACCTTTTTGTAGTTTTATGCTATTTTTAAAATATTGAGTTAATACCACTATTTCAATTATATAGTAGTAAATAGCTTAAAAATACGAAAAAGTCAGGGTGGCAAGTGGTGTAATAATAGTAGACAAGACACTTCATCAGCAGAAGAGGCCAGTTCTCACTTAACAGTCATCTTACTCTCACAAATGTACTGTCAACACATTGTAAAAAAAAAAACGGTTTCAGACTCCAAGCCGAGTAACAACTTTTGAAAGATTTTTCATTGATCTATCTTACTCTCTTCATTCATTTTCTTTTGTGATGCTCCAAATTAAGAATAATTATCAATAATAATCAATAGCTGACTTATCTGTACTTCCGCAGATGATAAAACACGAGTTGCGATTGGAGAAAACCAGGAGTACATCAATGCAAGCTACATCCGCATGCAGGTCGGGGCAGAGGAGTTCTTCTATATATCCTGCCAGGGTCCTCTGCCTTCCACAGTGCAGGCCTTTTGGCAAATGATCTGGGAAAACAAATCAGACATCATTGCCATGATGACACAGGAGGTAGAACGGGGAAGGATCAAATGTCACAAGTATTTGCCAGAGAGTCAAAGCACATTTTTGACGGCTGGTAGGTATCAGCTACACCTTGAGAATCAGCAGTTCCTCCACTACTTCCACATAAAGGTCATTCGCATGGTGGAAACACAGGTGAGAAAAGGGCGTAATGTTCTTAAGTTCTGTGATTAATTGTAGCATTCTTTCAAGACAGAGATTTGACTTTGTGTCATTCCAGACTGGTGAGACACACTTTGTTCACCACCTGAAGTTCACGCATTGGCCGGACCACGGCGTGCCGCAAAGCTCTGAGCAGCTGGTGCGCTTTATCCGTTACATGAGGGCGGTGCATCATGAGGGGCCGATCACCGTTCACTGTAGCGCTGGCATCGGACGGACAGGGGTTCTTATCTGCACCGACATTATTCTGCACCTCATTGAGAATGACTTGCCTGTAAGTGGACCTGAGTTTAATTCATTTATACATAAACAGGATTTGTTTTATACCTAATTTCAACCTTGTTAAGAAAAAGGCTAATGATTTACTTCAAAAAGCTTAGGACATTGCTTCAATGGGAACCCTGAGTGGATGTGCTGTGAATGTTTGCATCCTGCAGACCAGGTCTTCTTTAGAAAAGCTTATAGTTGTACGGATGATTTAATTTTCATATATGTATTTAACCTTTAACTTCCTAACAAAGCACATATCTCTGCTCTAGTTTATAACAGTTAATCTAATTCCAGATTAATGTGAGCGACATCGTGAAAGACATGAGGCTACAGCGGCATGGGATGATTCAAACCAAGGTGGGTGAAAACAGACTCACTAAGGATGAAAGTTTAAAAGTTTATTATGTAGATAAAAACTTGACATACCCTTTGCCTCCTTATTTTTCCAGGAACAGTACCTTTTCTGCTACAAAGTCTGGTTGGAGGTTTTACAGGGCATTTTACAGCTTCAAGGAAACCAGTGGCAACCAGAAAGTCCCAGAGACCAAAAGATCGTTTGAATATTTCCCCCACCAGCTCAGCAACATGTACCTGTAAAGCAAAGGCTGTGAGTGAATGGTCACGGCACAGCAGGCTAATTCACAAGTGGTACTTTCTCCTTTGGGGGTTGTTCCCTTTAGTTAACTATAAAAACTGGTTATGTAATGTCCGTTTGGTTACTATGAAAACGTCGCTTTTTAATTTATTAGTTTTTATTTTTTCCTGCATATGTCTACATGGTGCTTTCATGAGATCAGCTTATTAATTGCCTTCTGTTTTATGTATTTTAGCTTATGTTTTTATATATATTTGCGCATGGAATTCCAACTTCTGTTAATCTTCAGATCTTCAATCTACCAGTAATATCATCTTAATTTTTAGACCTTCATAATTTTCTTTGACACAGAAGTGATATGTATGCATCATGTAACTATTTGATTTAAGTGCATTTGTACCCTGGAGGAGAGAATCAAAACAAAATCTATTGTTTTTTTTACTTCATTTTGAATGAGGAAGTGAGAAGAACCAAGTGCCTTGGAGAGACACGCCCCTCTTGCTTAACGATAAACCCATACCACTTGTTATAAGTGACCAGGGGCAAAACTGAACACAGCACCTGGTGGTTAGAGTGAATGTAAAGTTTTCGGCCTGTCCCGTCTGTCTGAGATGAACACTTTGTTAATTCATGCTGGAGGAGGACTTCATCTCATTTTTTAGTTTGTCTTTTAAATTGAAACTACTGAGATGTTCACACACCGCCTATTCTTTTTTTTGTTCTATACAGCACATTGTCACAATGAATCACGTTATCACTACTTGCATTTTCTGATACAGATAAAGAATGATTAATCGTAACAAAAGCTTCAGTGAATTCATAGATTTTTCAAATAACTTTTACTAAAATTTGGATTTTGGTTATAAATAAGGGATCTGGATTTTATTTTGTTAAGTGTAGATTTCATTGTAATTTAGATGATTAGTCAGACTTGTTAAGTGATGACATCCTTTATCTGTATTCAACAGCTATTTTAATATGAACTAAGCCAAAAATGCAAAAAATATGAGGTTTACAAACTTTACATTTTGCCACTTCGGATGTTGTAAGGAGCAAAACAAATTACACCTCTGATTCATGGCTGCTGGTTTGAACCTCAACCTCAGATGTCACTGCTCATGAGCTTTCATTCAGCTGCTAACCCACACTCACCAGCTCTGTATTGCATGCAGACTCAAGAAGTACAGATGTGTTAGCCTGCAGTTTGACTGAACTACTTGAAAACGATCAACATATGGAATGTAAAAATGCAACTATCTCCAAAAGGAAGGAGCATTTAGAATGTCATTTTTCTTATCTTAAAAACATCTTCAAAAGTTTTTGGAGCATGCTGGAAAGTCAGGTGGACCACTTTACTTTTGTCACGTGAGAGGCCAGGCAGAGCAATCAGCCTCTCTAAAGCACATGCAGTGCATTGCAGAACCCTTCACACCCCTTGATCTTTTTCACATTTTGTGACATCACAACTTAAAATGTCGTGTCTTTTATTGGAACTTTATGCAACAAAACAACACAAAAGCAATGTATAATGTGAAGTGGAAGGAAAAGGACATATAACACCATTTATTTTAGTTTTGCTGATAAAGTTGTTTTTTAGTGTGGCATGCATTTTTATGAAACACCTTGGGTCTAGATTTTGTATTCTTGCCTTTCCGCCACTTAAATACGCTTCTATTTTAACTATTTCAATTTAGTTCTACTGTATGTTTAGGATTACTTGAAGACTCCAGTCCACTTAGGTCTTTTTCAGTATTTTTCAGTCTCTAGCAGGTTGATCTGCATTGGCTTAATTTTCTTTCTGATCCTCTGTATTATCTTAAAAAAAAAAAAAAAAATTCTCCTTAGAATGATGCCACCACCACCATAGTTCCCTCTGGTGGCCTGTTGACTGGGATGCCTCTCTGCTTGCATTTTCATTAGCGTTTCATATAAAAGCAAGATTTTTGAAGTGCACAAGAAATAGATGTCCTCTTATGGGAGAGACCTCTAACTGATGTGAATTTGTTCTTTCTGTGCATTCTTCCTCCAAAGTTATCATGCATCTTGTGGCCGTTTATTTGATTGATGCTTTCCATGAGTGACCTGCCAGTTAATGTAGACAGCCTTGTCTTGTAAGGTTGCAGCTGTGCCATATTCTGTCCATCTTCGGATAATGAACTGAACAGTGCTCTGTGAGATATTCGAGACATTACATCATAAGTCAACTTTACTTTATCAGGAGTTTATCCCCTGAGCTGTCCAATGTGTCCTTTAGTCTTTGCTTAGCTGCTCTCTGTTTTCCATTTAACCTCTGATGCTTTCTCAGAACACACAGAGATTAGAATTACATGAGGTGGACTTTCTTTACTCGTACAGTGACTTCTAGATTCAAAAGTTAGGTGTGCTGGAGTTTGTTTAGGGGTACTAGAGTTAAAGTAATGTATGCTTTCAGATTTTCATTTGGACAAAAATCTCAACCAAAAAAAAGCTATATATAATTTACATACATACCTCCATGTTTATATGCTAATTTAATCCATATAATCCAAATCTAATGCTTAGAACTTTGGTAACTTTTACATCTTCTAAAAAAAGTTCAAGGGGTGTAATAAAGCTTTCTGCAGGCAATGCATTTTTCCGAAGTTATGTGCAAGTTTTCTGTCATATGGTGGTATTTTCTTCTGCCCCTGTTCTTGTAAAGAATAAGCAAAAGCACATTTTGCATACATATGGGAAAGTGCATCTTGTACAGTCTAGCAAGTGCTTATGCTAAGGCATTGTGAAATGTGATAATTAATTGCACAACAGCTTATTTATGCTAAATTAAAATCTTGTTACACTTCCAGCCACTATGTAACCAATAACTGAGAACAATGTAATACCTCTCTCTTTAATTAAAAGCTATTCTGAAACTTGTTTGCCTGCGTTTTACCACCCCTTTGCTCGCTTGACTCCCAACACACAACATAACTCAAGTTAAACAACGGAACAAGAGCAGCAGAGTGGATTTTCCCCAACGGCACACAGAGAACAGAGAGCCGGGGGCAGCCCTAAATCTAGTTCCTCTACACCCCCTTTCTCCACATTTACTGCAGGGTATACTCCCTCTTGGGTTTTACTGCAAGGTAAATAAGCTAGTCTCACAGGGGCCTTTTGTGACAGCATGGAAACCCCTGGAAACACATTCCATACTCCGCACACACAAACCTGATGCTGTTGAAGCCATAGAGCTGATTTACTTCCTCACATTTACTCTCCTGTTTATGTCCAGTCCCTCTGTCTTTTTGCATTGCTTGTACCTTACTCCTTTTACAGAACTACACAGTCACCCCGTCATTCTTAATTCTCTACTCCTACCTTGTTATTGTTGGGAGTTATTGCTAGATCAACTAAAGTTATTCAGGGGGTACTCCAATTTCCAGATATATTATTTAATCATAAGTTGAGTCCAAATCACTAGAGAAATTAAGAATTATTGACTTGAAAATATAAAAGGGTAGGATGATTAGTTTAAATCATGTAATCTGAGCTCCTCCTGTTCATCCTCACAATTTAGCAACAGTTGTTCGTAGGACTGGGGAAGTAGTTGTTGATAAAGCTATTAACTGAAGACTCATCCCTCACAGAGGGTGATTTAAAATCCAGGGAAACTTGGAGAAATGAAAGCACATGCTTTCAGTAAATCTTCTTGCTCTCTGTTGGGATTAGCCTTTAACAGTGACATGAGCCTGTTTTCTTTTTCTCTATTTACTGATGAGGAAACAGCACATGACTTATGAGCTGCTGCAAAGCCTACACATCACAGGCTCCATACTGTCATCCTGTACACATGTGGTGCTTCACAGCCTAAACCTGTTCAAATTGTGATATAGAAATTCAGTGTTTCTGTGTGACTGATACAGCTCTATCTTTGCAGTGATACTTTTTTGAAAAGATGGAAAGAAAGGAGGAAGGGATGTGTTTTTCTAGAATATTGTATTTTTCTGGTTGCAACATGCTTTGCAATATACTGTATACAGTAAATACTGTAGATCCAAATATACCTTTTGTGTCTGATATGCTGAAAAGAAATACGTGTTGTCTAACATCCATTGAACAGACTGAGGTAATCCCAACAATATCCTGATGCAGCAAGGCCTAATTATCCATAGCTCCTTTGATGTTCTTTCATATAAATGACAGCTTTCTTCGAAAAGAAATAGTTTAGCAGCAATATTGACAAGATATTTTTAGGGGCTTTAATTATAAAATTTCTCATTGGATGTGGATAAATATTTGTTAGTTAAACCTGGAGGTGTTCTGTTGTCCTTCAGAAGTAAAAGTATTCATTGAAAACAAATGGTTTATCAGCAATACTGGCACCAACTTAGATCAAAGTGATTATGTGTCCTGATTTGTGGGGCTTTAATTTTGGAATTCCACATCAAATGTGGCTTAAACTTTGTGAGTCTACTGTCATTCTGAAATGGAAGACTTAACTGAAAACAAATAGTTTTAGCTTCAATAATAACAGTGACTTCGGTTGAAAACATTGGGCTTTAATTTTGAAATTCTACATCAGTTCTCGATGAGTCACATTTGTAGATGTTCTATTATTATTTCAAAATGCAATAATTCCATGAAAACAAAGTGTCTAGCAGCATATTGACGGCAACTTAGGTCAGAGTCAATCATTCAAGAGATTAATACGTGCTTTAATATTGAAATTCCACATCACATGTGGATGAAACTCAGTGAGTCACATGTGGAGGTGTTCTACTATTATTTCAAAATGGAGCGTTCACTGAAAATAAGTTGGGTAGAAGCAATAATGACAGCAACTTAGGTCGAAGAGATTATAAGTAGAGATTTTGTGTGGGTTAAATTTTGAAATTCCATATTAGATGTGGATGAAACTGTGTTGGTCACATCTGGAGGTGTTTTATTTCCCTTTAGAAACTAAATTATTCACTGCAAACTAATAGTTGTGCAGCGATATTGACATCAACTCGGTGTAGAGATTTTGTGGGGTTTTAATTTTGAAATTTCACATCAGCTATGGACAAAACTTTGTGAGCCACATCTGGAGGTCTTCTACTGTCATTATGAAATGGAAGTGTTAACTGAAAATGAATAGTTTTGCAGCAATATTGCCAGAAACTTAATTTGAAGTGACATCATATTATGTTCTGAAAGTAGATGTGTTTTAGATTCAATGATGATATCAAACAGAGAACACAAGGAAATAGCATTTAGCATCTGGGACGAAAGTTGTATGGTCATTTCATAAGTACCTAGAAATTAATTAAATAATATCTCAATGTCATTGTATTTAACCCTGTAATGCCAAATGTATCGTATTTGATACATAAGTTTTCTGAAATGTTTTGCACCTGACACCTTTTGCATAATTTAATGGTAAAAACTTTGCTCAAAATCCTATTGTACACAATCAGATATACCTGATAACAGCCAGTAGAAGACTACACAAAAAATAATCTTGACTTATCGCATAGTAATAAATTATTAATATCAAAAATGTATTTCTGTTTTTTCTTTTTACATATTTTGTTAAAAGGGCAAATAAGGAATTCAGACAAAAAAAAGTTATTTTCTGTTTTGTTTTATTCTTGGATCAGGCTTTAAAGGGTTAAAGGCTAAAATAGAGATGAGTAGTAATATACCAACCTTCAGAATTTTTTTCAAAGTGAAATAGTAAAATTCCACTTTGTCTATATGTGTTATTCATTTACCTGATAAGCTCAAAAATACATGGTCGCCCTGTCTTGGGTTGAACCACAGATAAAAAAGAATAGCTCATTTACTAAGATTGCCATTTATGCATTTATTTATTGTGTAATCAGTATTATCAAATGTGCCCTGAGATGAAAAAAGTATCCTAAATGATTCCTGGATGTCAAAGAAACCACTATGCTTTAGTAACAAACCCTGGAGTTCTGTGTTATATATATAACAGATTAATAATGATTTGGATCTTCCTGTTCAACGAGATGGAAATAACAAACTTTGTGAAAACTAAAGCATGTTTCCCCACTTTATACCTAACATAAATCCCACTGGGGCCACTTGTTCTCTGAGAAATTGGATACAAAGCTGTTCTTATACACCTTGAACTTAGATGTAGAAAACTTTGGCTCCAATGTGATTCTCTGTTACTGAGGGCAACACTCTTTTTAAGTCGACCCTTTGAGTGGGTTCTTCTTTGACTATAGCTATTTCATGAACACATATAGTCCTTTCAAAAAACAAATTTTTGCCAAAAGTTACTAATTATGACCTTGAATGTTAACAGGATTTATTGTGTGCTTGTTCTAAAGGCTCACCCAGATAATGTCTTTTTCTGATTTTTAATCTCAAAGTAGCTTTTCGAATTGTCCATCATGATGTTTATAGAGAGGATTTGTTGAGAAAGGAAGAGAAACAGCACATGAATTCAATTTTCTGCAAATTACATCCATTAACTAAAGTTTAAAAGATACTTGAAGTAAAAACACAATATGTGCAGAAGTGATATGTGAAGTCCAATAAAAGTAAGAATTAATTTTTTTTATGTGTAAATGGTTTACGCATCAAGAAAGTACTATTAAGGATATACACAGTCATTATCTTACCTTTTAATAGATCACTTTGTCAGAGTCTTTCTTTGAATAAAACAATACATTTAAAAGTTAAAGACAAGTAAAGGTTAACACCTTGCAAAATTTAACAAGTGAAATAGTAGCTAAAGACCTCATGTATGCATTCATATTTATGGACCACAGACTATAGTAGGTGGCCGTCCTTTAAAACAGTTCCAAGAATTGAACATATGTTGACACTAGAATAACCACACATACTGATGGTATTGATGATATTAATTTAAAAGCATTCTAAATATAAGATGCATGGAAAATGGAAAATTGTGCAACATGCCATATAGACAACAAGAGGATGAAGAAAACTGATGGACCCAAGCAGCCTGGTGGAAATGAATTACTGTCATCAGAGAGAAACCTTTGGATTTCCTGGCCTTTGATAATGATTGTTTAAAAAGGCAAATATGCAGAGAGGTAATTGAGATTAGACACATATATAATATAATGATAAAAATGAAATCGGTACACAAAAGCAATCAGATAATTTTATCAGAAGAAAAGTAGAATAGCTGTGACAGGATGAGGGTAGGAAAGCTGAAGGAGAAATGTCAAAGTCAAATTTATTTATATAGCACTTTAAAAACAGGTATAAAACTGCACCAAAGTGCTGTACAGGACAAACAATAGTACTGATAATAAAAACAGATTATCAAAACACTTCAAATGCCAAAGAATAAAAATGAGTTTTAAGAAGCGATTTAAAATGATCCAGGCCGTGGGCAGATTTAATTTGAAAAGGTAAATTGTTCCATAAAATTGGAGCAACAACAGAAAAAGCCCGATCTCCTTTCCTCTTAAGTCGGGTCCGAGGGACTGTCAGTAATAGCTGATTATTTGATCGTAAGCTTCTGGATACAGAGTGAAATTTTAAAAGGTCCCGAAGATAGGGAGGAGCTAATCCATTTAAAACCTTATAAGTTAATAAAAGAATCTTAAAATCTATTCGATAAAAGACGGGCAGCCAATGTAAAGAGGCCAATATGGGCCTTATATGGTCACGCTTCCTGGTTCCTGTAAGAAGCCATGCCGCTGCGTTCTGGATCATTTGAAGTCGCTGCATCTGTGATTTATCCATGCCTCTATATAATGAATTGCAATAATCCAACCGAGATGTGATGAAAGCATGGATAAGTCCTTCAAAGTCCTTAAAATAAAAATAAGATTTAATTTTTGCTAAAATCCGTAGGTGATAAAAACTTGATCTAACAACAGAGCTAACTTGTTTATCTAGCTTTAAACAGCTGTC